GTTTATGGACGTGTCGTCAGTGTTTATGGGCGTGTCGTCAGTGTTTATGGGCGTGTCGTCTGTGTTTATGGACGTGTCATCAGTGTTTATGGACGTGTCATCAGTGTTTATGGGCGTGTCATCAGTGTTTATGGGTGTGTCATCTGTGTTTATGGGTGTGTCATTCGTGTTGCAGACTGCAAAGGGTTAAACACCTTAAATTGCCCATAGGAAGTGGATGTAGCGATGGAGATGTCATTTTTTTATCTCCATCCTGAAGTTGGGCTTTTTTTATGGCATCTCAGTTTCTTCGTTTTTGGAGCCAAACATGACCACATCTGGACCAGAGGGAGTTAAAGTTGCTCTACATCTCTCGCTGGCTGATGGACCTGTTAATCACAGGTAGCCCCGCCCTAACTCCTCCCCCTCTTTCTGGTCTCTGTGACTCTATCTGGACTTTACTCAATGAACATGAAGCGGTGTTGAAGAAGACCTGAAACAACAGATTGAGGATATTTACTGAGGGGATAAATCATCTAAACAGACTCCTCTGTCTAATCAGTGGAGTCGCCTCCTGTTGGATATTAGAAAGAATGCAGGTTTAAGATACTCCTGCTTTGACACAATGTTCTAATCAGCAAAATGTATTCCTGTATATTTTCCCGTTATGATGCAGCCGCTCTCTGGAGGCTGACATCGCTTGGCTGCTCGTTATTTAGCGAGCCCAACAAGAGCGTGACTTATTGCTGATTAATTAACGTCTCCTTCTTTGTTGAGGGATCACTAATCATGGAGGAGCTGCTGGAGCTGTGCAGGCCGTCTGCTCCTGTCACAGCATCACCCTGTGTGTCTAATTGGTGTCTCGCTGTTTGACCTGTTCTGCACTAACGATCCTAAGGTTCAAATATGAATTTAAAAAAACATGGATCAACGCTCATTACACTCACAATAATCCATAACTCATTAGAGGATGCTGTCAGGGCACCACGTCTCACAAACACTTTGAAGAATGAAGCTCTAATGTCTGTTTTTACACAGAGGGTAACTCAGAGTAACCTTCTATTATTCAAAATTCTCATTTTAAAATGAAAGGTCCAATCAGTGAGATATGTAGAGAGTGAAATGATAAAGTGATCTTACTATATGATCAGACATTAAGGAAACATGCTATGTTGAAGTGCTGGCTTCTCTGACAACAATGCAGCAGCCAGTATGTCCTCCTTCTAACTTTAGATTCTGGTCCTGAATGCTCTGGACTTGTTTGGACCAGAGAAGGTAGACGGTTTTAAGGCAACCCCACACAGCCGTTTTGCATTTTGGACACCCCTCGGTTTGCCAGATATGAGAGCAGTTATCAGGTCAAACCAACAGGTGTTGCAGCGATGGAAGCGGGCAAGAGAACTGGTTCAGATAGAAGTGATTGTACCCGACCTAAAAAGCCTCTGCATGTTTCTAATAAGCTCCACGAGCAGAAACGTGTTCAAACTAGGATCAATATTGGAGACGCTTTTGAAAAATGGAGAGAGGTTAGAACGCAGAAAGGTTTACAGACCGATGCAGAGCTGGATAAACACTGAAGCTTCAGTGTTCACCAAATGGCAACCTGGACTGCAGTACCCATTTTAAACACTAGGGGTCAGAGTTACATATTTATCCTTTAATTAATAACAGTCACATGTATTTCTGAACATTATTGCCGGACTGCGGACTTTGTTTTGTTGTTGTTTCAGGAGAATAAAAAAGGAGAGGGATATATAAACCGTTCATCTCATCACAACTACTTTAGACATCAATGCAGTTGAAATGTTTGATCAAAAATATGAATATGAAAAAGCAACATGAATGTAGCGTTGTAGACAAGACCACACTAACCGAGACCAAGACTTTCTCGTGTGGTGATTGGACAGGTCTGTGTTTTTTTTTCCTTGTTTGGTGCTTGTGTTTTTGTTCTTTCAGAGGCTGGCTGTGGCTTATCGGCTGCTGGAGGTCTCTGCAATCACTCACCTGTTCATCATCTGTAATTACCGGCTGCAGCATTTATACCCTGGTTCAACTCTCCCAAGCTGCCAGATTATTTCCGCCTACACAGTGGTAGATTGGCTTCTCAGCATCAGTAAACTTTTTGTGCTTTGGATACCCGTTACTAATTATTCCCTTGTCTTATTTTTTTCCCCAGTGCCTTCAACTACCAAGCTCCAGCGCCTCACCACCCAGCCTCTCATTCAAGCCTCACGTCAATAAATACCCCTTTACCCACCACCCTGTTTTCCGGTTTTGCTTTTGGGTCCACTAACAAACCTTTAAGGCCATAACAACCCGAGACATTTAGGGATCCAGACCGAGTCCAGACCAAGACCATATCTATCTCTGAAAGATCAACGCTGGTGTTTAGGGGCCGTGTCACTCACTAAGAAGGTTGCGGCTGTAACCAGGGGATAATAATCAAACTATAAACTATGAATTTAAGCTATTTGTTCTTTTAGAAAGAGGAGTCTCCTTCTAATCTCAGTGATGACGGGGGAAAATTTGGTCTTGACCGGTCTTTATTTAAAATCCAGTCTGAGACCGAGACAACTTTAATTCTAAATAAAGGCTTTATATGCGATTTTTTTTTTTTTTTTTTTTTGTTGATCCAGCAGATGTCGCCCTTGAGCACCAGCATGAACCAAAACAACTTGCGCTGCATTGTTGTGTTAGCATGCTAATGCTAGTGATCTTTATTATGCTCGTATCTTCACACTGCATGTAGATTTACCTGAAATGACCGTGATCTAAAAACGAAGTTAAGCAGTGAGTACAGTATGTTATTCTTCTTTTCTCTAGTCCCTCAATTAAACAACTTTTATACGCGAGGGGGGGAGCCGGCCGGCCGTCCCGACGATGTAAACAAACTGAAGATAGGCCTCGGAAAACTCTGAAAACATCACAGACAGTGGGACTCGGGTGTTACACCCATTGTAGACAGTCATGACTCACAGAGTTATTTTCAGAGGATATACTTGATTTCTATTACATTTAAGTGTGAAAAATCGCATATGAAGCCTTTAAGGTTGTAAAAAAAAAAGATATAAAAAGAAAGCAGAAATATCAACATAGGATATTTGAATTATATCATTGCTGCACTGATTGGTCATAGAAACGCTTATAAAGACTCAAAGAAATCAGAAGTTTAGTCTTTTTTTTTAAACATTGTTCTTTAATTAATGTTCGTGTATTTATATTAAAATAAGATCCATTTATCTCCCTGCACTGGTTAATTGGGGGGGGGGTGTCTCTGTGACGTCACTGTTCCCCGGGGAGTCGTGGTGGAGGGGCGCGGGGGGAGGGGGGTGTACGAGCAGCACCTGCCGCCTCCGAGCTCCACTTCCAGGCTGCAGAACAACAAAAGGAGGTAGACCGCCGCTACTCCTCCTCGCAGACAGATGCTGCATCAAGCTGCCCGGAGTCAGAGCACTCAGCACCGGAACACGATCGACTGTGCCTTCAAAATAAAAGTTCATATGATGAAAGAAACACAGTGTTTGAGTTTAGTTTTAAATGTTCAGTGACATAAAGTGAGGAAATAAAACTTCATGTCAGAAGTTATTTATAACAGGGAGGGGGATGCAGGTTTGTGAATTTATGAGACCAATTTACAATCAAACATTTTACATTCTTTTATTATTTTCTCTTAAATGATCTGTAGGCACATGTCTGTGTATTACTATGGAGAATTAAGGCCACATGACAAATTACATCTGAGATTTCAAGATTAAAGTCATTATTTTTTATTGATAAAAATGTACATTTAAGAGAATCAAGGTTTGAAAAGAAAGTCGTAATGTTTCACGATTAAAGTCATAACATTATGAAAATAAAGCTGTTCATTTAGAAGGATAAGGTGTTGAGAGAAGATAATGGATATGACGAGTATAGTATAAAGTCTTAAAACTAGAAGAGTAACGTCTTAAAGAGATTATTGTAAATAAGAAGATATTTAAGTCTTCTGTTAACGAGATTAAATTCCTAAATTAACTGTTGACTAACTGTTAATATTACCTTCCTTTTTTACATTGTGATCAACTACGTCGAAGATAAATATTTAAAAATCAAAAAATGAAATCAAGAAACATTTGAAAATGCTAACACTAGCTGGACGTCCTGATGTTATATTTAATTTCGCTACCCATCGAGATGTGCTACAGAACGGCTCTGTGATCGGGCTTTTCCTCTTTAAAGATACGTTTCCCCTTAAATCTTAAAATACAGATTACAAAAACCCGCCCCCCATACTCTGATAATTTAGTAAGTAGCTGTTTAATAATATAGATGTATATAGGTTACTAGGCATCGTTTGATAACCTACACCGAACTGACTATTACAGAGGTGTCCAAAGTGCGGCCCGAGGGCCATTTGCGGCCCTTGAGGGGATTTTTTTTGGCCCGTGACTTCAAATGAAGAATCAGAAGATTTTGGCCCGAGGCCTTGATTAAGATTGGCACATTATCTTATTTTTATTTTTCATGTTAACAAGGGCTGAACAATATTCCTAAAATAGAAAATGTTCAGTAACATGTATGTTGTTGTTTTTTTAATCTACAGCTTTTACTATTTTCCGCATTGTTTTTGTAAACTATGAAAAAAAAAACATATGCAAAGTTTTTGCAAACAAGTGGACTGTTGTTTAAACCATTTAATGACCTGAGCTAAATGCAGAAAGCTTTTCCAAAAAAAAAAAAAAAAAAAAAAAGAACCACGTTACAGACTTGATTCTGAGAAAAAAATAAATAAAGTAGAAAGATGAAATCAAAATATTTGATTTCCTTTTATTAAAGGGTTTCTTTAGCAAGCCTTTTTAATTCTGATCTACAAAGCCTGACTATTTTTTTCAACTATATTTTAAAAAACAAAACCTGTGGAAAAAAAAAAAAAAAGGTTTGGACACCACTGGACTATTACTTCAGTAACGGTTACCGGAAGTGACTCGGCAGTATTTTGGCGGGCTTTGACGCTCTGGTGAATCAGAGCAGAAGGTGTTTGAAAGAAGGAGGGATGATGCTGAGGAGGAGGAGATGAGGGAAAAGAGACTCTCATAGAGGATGTGGAATCAGACCAACTGAACATTTTTAAAAGCACAGAGGAGGAGGAGGAGGAAGAAGAGGAGGAGGACATCCACAGAAGGAGAGGAGGAGCATCAAATCTGCGAGGATCCAATCCCGGGTATAGTTTCTGCTTTCACCGAGGTACCGAGCGGAATCACCCCGCCTCCTGCTGCATCAACACTAGCTGCTGCCCCGGCCCTCATCAACCAGGTAAACACACCAACACCTCCCACCAAACCGCGGTTATATCTTTAAAATCAAATCCACATTTTAAATTCATCCCAACATGAACATGTGTGTGTGTGTGTGTGTGTGTTTTGGATGTGTTTTGGGCCGGTTCGGCTGGTTGGATGGATGGGGGGTGTCCCGGTTGTCGCTGGGTTTGACGCAGCAGTGAACCTCACAGAGAACCAGCCTCACTACACTAAACGTGTCTTTTTCTTTCTTCTGCCGTGTATTGTTGTCAACGTTACGCCAAACTTCACGCCTGTCGTCACGTCTGCACCGATAATGAGCATTTAACGGAGTTATGGTCGTAACTGTGTGTGTGTGTGTGTGTGTGTGTGTGTGTGTGTGTGTGTGTGTGTGTTTACGGGCTTTGAATTGAGCAGAAAGTGAATGAGGTTTGGTGGAAGGTGCTGCTCTCTTATTGCGGCTGTAAATTAAATGTTTCTGTGTTACTGTCATGTTAGGTGATTATTGTAATGATAGTAATACTTTATTTGTTAAGTACTTTTCAATACAATTGGCAGAGGGCTTCACAGTGAAGAAAAACAGACTGATAGATTTAGATATAAGAAATAATAGTGCAATAAAAATAAATAAAATGAGGGTTTCTGATTCTGCAGGTCTGATCTCCTCTGACAGACTGTTTATAAGTCCTGACCCCCTTTAGTCTTAAACAGAGCTCTGTCAGAGGATCTCAGACTGAGTCCTGGTTCAGGAGGGGTTACGAGCTCAGAAATGAAAGGTAGGGGGCCAGTCCATGTTGTGTCTTCAAAGTGATTAAAAGAATCTTAAAAACTAGCAGTCAGTCAGTGATGGGACGCTGAAATCAGGGTGATGTGAGCACGTTTGTTGGTCTGTGTTTAAAGTCCGGCTGCTGAATTTTGCAGTATTTGAAGGCGTTGGATGACCTGACTGAGACGGGAGGCGTCCAAAGAGGAGGACCCACGTCCAGAACATTCAAAAATGTTTAATTAAAACAAAAAGGCAAAAACAGGGTTGACGTCTTAAAAAGTCCAAAAATCCACTAGAAGAGAAAAACAAATCTCTGGGAGCCAAACGGGAGAAGCGGATGAACGCGGGTTCATTCTGTCACAGGTCCTGCACGCCATGCCCCCTCACCGCCTTGTTACCCGCTCTTCACTGTGATCACTTTCTCTTTTTATACCATACAGCTCTGCTTACATGGTACTTCCTGTTGTATCTCTGACCCTCTCTTTATATATTTAGTTCCTGTTCTTTTGTTCTGGGTTAGGGTTGGGTTAGGGTCCATCACTCTCGCATCACTACTCCCCCCCCCCCCCATATATTAACCCACTGCGTCCTGTTTACATCTGTCAGTGTGATCACTGTCCTCTTCTACCTTCTGTTTTATTTAAGTTTAAGTTTTTTTTTTGTCCACCTTGCATGTTGTTGCTCCTTATTAGGGCCCGAACAACGGCCTTGTTGCGAGGAACCTATTGTATCCCTAAGGTTATTATTATTGTTTCTGCCAAAAGAATCACATTTTTTCAACGTGCGTGAAAACTCACGTCTGGCAATTTTTTTTTTTTTTTTGTGGAAAAACATTGAAAAATTATTTTAGTCTTCATGCCGCTCTCTCTCTCTGTGTGTCTCTGTCTGTGTGTGTGTGTGTGTGTGTGTGTGTGTGTGTGTGTGTGTGTGTGTGTGTGTGTGTGTGCGTCTGCGTCTGCGTGTCTTTGTCTGTGTGTGTTTGTGTGTGTGTGTGTGTGTGTGTGTGTTTGTCTGTGTGTGTGTGTGTGTGTGTGTGTTGTCTGTGTGTGTGTGTGTGTGTGTGTGTGTGTGTGTGTGTGTGTGTGTTTGTCTGTCTGTCTGTGTGTGTGTGTGTGTGTGTGTGTGTGTGTGTTTGTCTGTGTGTGTGTGTGTGTGTGTGTGTGTGTGTGTGTGTGTGTGTGTGTGTGTGTGTGTGTGTGTGTGGTTTTTTCTTCGTTGGTTGATGTGGTTGTTGGTAGTCTTATGGAGGTCTTGTATGGAGGGATGGAGACCCCATGCTGGGAGTCATGCTTCTTATTGGTTAATTTCTTGATGTATGATTTGACTGAATGATTGTAACTTTAAAGGTCCTTATTATTTTTTTCTGGCTTATATGCGCTTTAGTGTGTTTTCCAAGTGTTCTGTGCATGTTTACGCACATGTTTACGCACATATATGACGTCTTGTCAGTGTGAGATCACTGATCTAAGCCCATTGGCTTGTGTGGCAAGCCCTGCAGCTCATGTTGCACGACCGTTAACTTCTGTGGCACGCCCATGATATGCCGCAGCCTGCGGTAGCACAGTAGTGCTAAGTTGCAAATGCATGTTAGCTTGAGCAAAAAACGGACTTGGAAAGAAGTTTCAGCTCCTACTCTCTGTGGCAGCTTTGGAGATTCTGATGCTTCTGGAAGTTCACAACCACAACATGTAAGTACGCTTCATTTATTGTCTTTTTTATTTGTTTGAAAACAACTTTTGAGCTGCTATGGATGCATTAGTTCTGTGGAGGCTGGCTGTAGCTGAACTGTAAGCCTCGGCTAACATGGTTCGAGACGGTCTAATGAATGTAAAATCCGCTTTGTTGCAGGATCTGAGCTTTATAAGACTCTGCTCACTTCCCGGCTAACACAGCTGTTGTTATCCTCTTTCCACTTTCTTATCCACCTCTGCGTAAAACTTCTTTTTTACGTGGTGATTTTTTATCGATGTAGTAAGCCAGAAGTATGCTAAAGTATTGACAATTGATCTAAACAGCTCGGCCAGTGTTCAGGTGGTGTTGTTTAATCATAGCACTGACTGCAAACGAACGGATTAACACATATACATATATACATATATATATATATATATATATATATATATATATATATATATGCTATGCAATAACACGAGAAACATAAAGATGTGTGCAGCAGGCACATTTTTTTGAAAGATGTGTGGTCTAAATATTTAGCTATGAACAAGAAGACAGTGCATTTCTGATTCACGTCAGATTGCCATGCTAAATTTCCATTTTTTCTGTCTCTTTTTTTAGAGTACATCACAGCAGATTACACAGACAACAAGCTCCAGTATCCTAACGAGTGTACCAAGGTTTCATGATCACGTTGGGTGGCAGACAGACTCCCCACAAGTCCCAGAGGCCACACAGACATACCTACATCCAAAGGGGTCATCAGTCCACACACAGTTGGCCTGGGGTACACTAAGGGACAAGCAAAGGTACGCACACACACCTAAAGAAATGTCCAACTGCTGAAATCTGAGCAAGAATATCAGAAAACTGTGATTTCATTACATGATTGCTGATTTTAGCTTTTTGTATTGTAGTTTGCATAGTTATGCATCACAGACAGCAAGTCTGTATTTGCATTGTGATGGTATCTCCAGCACCGGCTCACAAAGCTGCGATGAGCTGCCAAGTGTCTGCACAGCCTGTATGGAGACAATATAGTTGGATGTAAAAATGTTACTTCTCATTGTATATTTACACGTATAGATCTACACATTTATATGTTTTTTTTTAACCTAAACTGAGAATAAAGAACTTTTAACAAATTATTTTCTCACTTGTTTTCTTTTATTTCTCTGAAATAGTGAAACTGTTTGATTAGAATTAATTTGATTGAAGATGTAAATCATTATTTATAATGAACATACTCTTCTGCAGTTCTCTGTGATTTTCTCCTCTGAAGATGTTGTGGATGTTTTGAAGTGTATATGGGTTTAAACAGTCCTGGATGTTTTTGGTAAAAGGAACAGGCAGCAGATTCATTCTCCTGATGAAAGAAGCTACTGATTAAAATGAAATAATGTTCAGGAAGAAGGAAAATAATGACAGAGGAGGAAACATTATTGCATGACATATTGATCCAACAAACACATGATTATCACCTGGGCTTTTGTAGTCAAAGTAAGTAAGTCTATGATGTTATTGATACTTACAATTGCTCATTGAATTTTTAATCACATCAAGGAGGTGATATACAATGCAGAACAAGCTGAGTCGCTGCAATAAACAACGTACAGTACTAATGTAAATAAAATTAAAATGTATTGTACAGAACACATTTGTGGCCAATAATCATATTGGAATCAAGCCAAACTTTGTGAAGCCATGAGTAAGATATATATTGATTAGGTAAATATGTTGGTAGCTCCAGTCAGTGAAATTGGAAGAGGCTAACATATTTTTCAACACAATAACAGTGAGAGTTTTTATGATATATAGACTTGATACAAACATAACATAGGCTACGTTGCTATATCCCCGTTATAGTATTCTGCAGCACGCGTTTAGCTGCAGTTTCCACACATACACCACAACAATGAAGCTACCCGATGAGCACAAATAAGACACATATTACATCTGAAAAGGCTGCAAAATAAATACCTGCAACACTGAAACGTTGTGCTAATGCTCACGATTGCGGTGGTTGTTCCTCCTCTCCGTTGTCAGATTGGTAAAGTTGACCGCGGCCATTTTTGCTTGTTTACCAGGGTTTTCTGCTGCTCTCGCTGCGTTCCCAATATGGTAAAAGGGGCGTGACATTTCCGAGAACTGTGCCGAGCGACTGACCAATTGCGACAGAGCGGTTCGGCCGACCAATCAGATCATACTTGGCCCACGTGGGAACTTGCAGTGTGGGCACAACAGAGCTTTACAAACAGTGTCAGAGTGGAGAGGGTGCAAGGAGGAGCAATACATGAAAACAGACACATTTTTCGGACATTAGCGATTGTGACTGTACTTTAGTAGGCACATAAATTAAATATATGAACCCATAAAAGGGCATAATATGTCCCCTTTAACAGGTCCACTGACAGACTGCAAAACGGCTTAATAAACGGAAGAAGAGACTCAGGTACAAGACTGTCGGCCTCTTCATCCGGAGTCAAGGAACTACATATCCCACAATCCATTGAGCATGATCCCTCTTCTTAAACGTAAATGTAGTTGTTATTGTGTTTATACTATACAAGCGTTGTGGTTTGTGTTGTTGTTCAACTTTTACTCTTAATTCACTTCAATTAAAAAAAAACAAAAAACATATTGGTCCCCGGGGGGCTAACTAACTAGCTAGCCTGCTATCCAAACTTATCTGTTCACATACAGCACTGAGGGGCGGGAAACATTGCCATGGTAACAGCAAGCTCAACCAATCAGAGACGTGGCTGTGACACCGATCGGGGGCAGAATCCCTCCACGTGGTTTATCTTCAAACTGTAAACCAGCGTTTTGTTTGTGTGGAGGATTTCAACAGAGGGAGAAAAGATGTTAGAGTGTAAGCCCCTCCCCTCTACCTCTCCCCGCCTGTCCATCAGTGTGTCCTCATGAAGGCAGCGATCGATGGTGGAATCGAACTCATCAGACTCCATCTGTGCTCCATCACAGGAACAGTGAGGCCTTTCTCTCTGTGTGTCAGTGTGCAGCTCTTTGTTCTCTAATAAGTGACAGGGCAGAGGTCTCTCTCTGATATCTAACACTGATATGAGCTCCAGCAGCACCCTGAGGTGACCGCTGACCCGCTGTGCCTCTGCAGACCGTCAGAGACATGTGATGAGGCTGACAGGACAGAGGAGTCTTTGATCTGATCTGATAACAGAGAGAGAAGCGGCACACTTCTGAAACTCCTAATGACTGTCAGATTCTCACATTCATCATTCATGTGTCAGACAAAAGGTCAGAGGTCAGCAGGACTCACACTGGGGCTTGTTTGGTTGTGTCAGAACAAGTGCAGCTAATTCTGCCTTCAGATGTGAACATTACGAGTACATGCTAAATCGTAACACGATCCATCGGACTCCTGCAGTCCTGAATCAGACATGTTTCTGCTTCCTGTGTGACGCCATGTTTCAGGTGTCTTCATACTCAGGTTGTTCCACGCCTACACCATAATATCTTAGTTATTTTAATAGTAGATCATTTCTACAAGGACAGAAGCTTTAAAAGACATTAGATCTTCAGTCACATTTTGAACTCAATACATGGAGCTCGTTCTAATTTGCACAAAAAGGTTGACAATGTTAGTAATGTAAACATTGCAAACACATGTGTTTAGTATAGACTGTGTGCAGGAGTTAGTCTGCAGTATGAAAAAAACAGTGATGTACCCAATGTTGGGCGTCTAGGAATGACCAAGCTTTAACCTCCGGTGTTGAAAAATGAAGCTGATGCTGAAGTGTCAGATCCTGCAGTTTGTCGAGTGTCCACTAGAGGCCGGCTGCAGAAGCAGGAAGTCACTTGTAGTTCTTTCACACCTGCAAAAGACTCCTGAAGTTTTGTGTGAACACAAACAGCTGAATGTTTCTCCTCCAGCCTCCTCCTATTTATTCTGCAGAAAGTCAGAGTGACACACAGACAGGACAGGTGAGCACAGATACACACACCTGTGAGCGTCTTGGTCTCCTGCTCACACTGATAACACTGCAGTTCAAGGTGCTGTACGTCGGCTGAGGCTCTCTCTGTAGGAAGAAATCTAACAGACTGAGAGAGGATGAGAGACAAGCGCAACACTTTCTACAGATCCTTCACATATCTCTCCTCCTCTCTCTCTCTCTCTCTCTTTCTCTCTCTCTCTCTCTGTCTGCACTCTGACAGTCAGATCATCTCCGTCTGCTCCTCTATGGGGACTCTGTGGGCGCCGGTGTCTGACTCTGAGGTCACAGTGTCTGGGTCAGAGTCTCAGGAGAGCGCTGTGACTCCAGATGGACGGTGTAGTGTAGTGTAGTGTAGTGTGTTCTTGTGTCTGCTGACTGACACACAGATAAGAGCAGGATCATCAGGTCCACTACCAGCGTCTCTTCTGCTGAATTGGTGCTGACATGGCGCTCGCTCTCTTTAGGTTAAAGTTCTGATGAGTGAAGATGTTTAGTTTTTTTTATGCTTCAGTACTCATCCAAACCGTCAATCATGAAGATAACACATCGTTTAACACGTGTTTTTATGGGCTGCTCGTTTACACCATAATGACGTTTGGCTGCCTGAAAAAGCAAAGTTTTAAAAAGGGATACTTTCTGCACTTGCTCAGTATGCTTCCAGTCGATAGGCATGAACGAGAAGTGACCCCACGTCATCGTCCATCCACACATTTCACAAGTTTACTGCATGTGTGAAAGCACAAAGAGGAGCTATTGTTCTGTGATGATCTCACACACACACACACACACACACACACACACACACACACACACACACACACAGATCAGTTTCATCTTCTAACAATCAGCAGACAATGACTTCATGCTCACTGACTTCATCTGAAACACACAAGCACTGCTGTGTGTGTGTGTGTGTGTGTGTGTGTGTGTGTGTGTGAGAGAGAGAGTGTGTGTGTGTGTGTGTGTGTGCACTGAGGACACAGAGTGTATCTAAATTTGGCGGGTTTTAAACCTCCTGACAAACCGTTACACCGCGCCCGTCTGTCAATCATGTCAGCTACACGCCTTATTATGAATATCTCTTATCCTTCATCAAATCAAAACTGATGAGTCATCAAAACATTCACCCCCTGTACAGTGTGTGTTGATCGAGACATGAGCTAATCAGACCTATTTGTTTTTTTGAACCAGGCTGTAAACATGTTAATCTCTGCTGTAAAAACAGACTTTTTAGAATGGGTATGTGACTTCCTGTGCTTCTGCAGCCAGCCTCTAGCGGACACTCGTGGAACTGCAGGATTTTACACTTCACTTGGCCACTAGAAGAAACAAATACAGAGCTTAATAAAGTTACAGCAGAGTCACAGATGGACCTGCTGTGAAGATAAAAATATTAAAACAGAAATAGAAACTGTCTCTAGAAGACTCCAGATCATTGAGAACTTTAACATTAGGAGATTTAAACGTCCTCAGCGTGCAGTCAGACAGCTGATCTGTTAAAGAATCCCTCCACACTTTAAAGGTCAAACTTTCACTCTGCTTCTGAAAAAGTCACTTCAGCTGAGACAGAAGTTTAGTCCACAGAGAGGGTCTACAGGAGTCCTGTTTCTGCCTCTCTCGGGGGTTTCTAGCAGTTTTCTCGCTGACTGCGGTCTGCATTCTTCTTCTTCTCTGGATCGGATTGTGTCACAGCATCAATTATGAGACAGAGCGTTAGATTTCAGCTAACAGCGTGCAGATTCAGCACAATGAAATGTCTGGACCCCTGAAAGGCAGAGTGAACGGACTCTCTATCATGGGATTATTATTATGGGCCCCTTGTGTAGCGGGTTCTCTCCCCCCCCAACCTTGCTCCCAGGTGTTCAAACCCTGATGCTTGGTCATCTCTCTTCCTTTATAACTTGACTGCCAACAACACCTCTGTGGTAAAGGTAGGTACATTTTGGTTTCATGTTTTTGGTTGATCCATTACCGCCTCTCTTTCATAGGTGCAAGTCGTTTGTCAAAGCATCTCACTGGGAGGCTTGTCAGCCACCATACATCAAACCATGTCCTCTCCTGTTTCCATACCCTCTGATCATTTCTTGGTTTTAATCACAAACGATGCAGTCTAACTCCTGCACGCTGTCTTACCTGTATATCTGCAGCTTCCCTGTACCAAACACAGACGTTAAGGTGAAGCTGTGCAGAGACTCTGAGAGATCCAGTCTGATTCAGGAGGAGGGAGCAGACAGGTCCACAGGAGATCTGACCTTTGTCTGAACTCCTGTCCTTTAAAGCAAAGTCCTCTGAGTTTGTCCGTCTCACATCCTGACAGTCTCATTCCTCTCACATCTTTAATATTTCATGTTTGTGTCTGACTTTCTGAAACATGCTGACGGGGCCACCGGGTTAAACATTTTCAAATATGCAACTCCCTCTTCAGAACGAATAAAAGATTCATGGGATATCTCACAGTCTGTATTTTAAAGAAGACTGTCTTTGTTTGATCATGTCTGCAGGAGCGCTGTGAGCTTCTCAAAGAGAGGACATATCAAATACATATTTATAAAAGGTTAGAGAGAAGCATGGATGCACTGACTCGTTAACTTCATGATGTAGAGTCATAAAATCTGTGCTTTGCTACACCGTGCAGTGGTTAGCTCTCACAGCGAGGAGGTTCCCGTCTGACTGGAGCCTCTCTGAGGAGGGAAAGCCCCCTTTGAGTTCCTCACAGAGCTGTGGGACTGAGCTGTGGGAAAATCCACGACAGAGCTGTTGTGGATTTTTCTGTTTGATGAATAAAAGGTCTCGAGTCAAGCTGTTTGTTTTTGTGTATTTTTATTGCAGAAAATAGATGATCTTTGAGGAATCAGATACAGAAGTGACAGAGGGCAGTCCCGTTTCTGGAGAGTATTTATACATGATTAGAAAGAGTTCATTGGTTGTGAACATGTGTCGTCTGCCCAGTGACAGTTTGTTAATGATGCAGAGCACACAGAAGAGGAACCTTGTGTTAGTGTTATCTAAGAGTTGGCACTATGGCCGCGGTCTCACTGGCCATCCGTACCGTGACCAAGCACGCTTCAACGCTAAAGTCCAGTTCGTTCGTCACAAAGTAGCTGTCATGTTGTCAGTGTTGTTCTCCGATGTGCGGACGCGGACTCGACTGCGCATTTCTTTTTCTCTCTCTCTCTCTCTCTCTCTCTCTCGTCCTCCTGTTTATAAACTGAGCACGCTTCATAATAACATAAAGCTTGCATGTGTTGTATTACGAGGTTATGTACAAGAGGTAATCGTGCTTTTAGGCACGATTAGTCCTGGCCAGTATTACCGTGGGCGGTGCCGGCCAGCGTGGGAATGGCACAGTGCCAATCGTGCCTGAGTACAGCACGGTACAGATGACCAGTCTGACCGTGTTCTTTCACTGTAGTGCCTCCAGATGTTCTTGTCCATCTGACGCACAAACATCTATTGCAAGTCAGTGTATGAGGTTATGTACGGTGACAAATAAACAGCAGAAGTAAGCACAGTGTTTTTCCAATACACCTCTCCTGAACTGAATCGTTTCTTTTCTCCTGAACAGACTGAGAGGGAACGCCTCCTGAGATCACATGATGATGGAGAACTTCCTGTTTCTGCTGCTGCTCAGCTCAGTGCTGCTGCAGGACGCTGAGGGTGAGGCACACACACACACACACACACACACACACACACACACACACACACACACACACACACACTCACACAGTACACACACACTCACCCCCCCCCCCACACACACACACACACACACACACACACTCACCCCCCCCACACACACACACACACACACACACACACACACACACACACACACACACACAGTACACACACAGTACACGCACACACACACACACACACACACACACACACACATATCAAACATTGAACAACCTTTTATCAGATTTAAAGAGTTAGCATTACACTTTCTACTCTCTCCAGGATCAGCGTGTCCCGTTGATCTTTGTCCTATTTTATAAAGAAAGTGTAAACCATCCACCTGATCCACGTCCAGACTTTAAAAGCTTCAGATGAGACGCTGCACTTCATACTGTGTCCACTGGAGGGTGCCAAAATCCACACAAACTGTCCAGTCCTCATGTTCATATGAAATGTTTGATTGTATTCTTTTCCAGGAGGAGACGTGTGTGTCTCAGGTCACGACAGCGGGCCGGTCTTCGAGAAGCAGCCCAGCAGCTTAATTTACCCAGAAGGCCTCACTGAGGGAAAGGTGACCCTCAGCTGCCAGGCCAGAGCCAACCCTGCTGCCTCCTACAGGTCAGACACACATTTACTATTTGTTTGAGTCAAGACCAGGACCAAGGCAGGGTGAGACTAAACAAGACCAGGACCAAGGCAGGGTAAGACCAAACAAGACCATGACCAAGGCAGGGTGAGACTAAACAAGACCAGGACCAAGGCAGGGTGAGACCCAGTCAAGACCGACCATGCAGACCCAGACCGGTTTTGAGTACTACACCACTGGTTTGTACCCCGTGTGGATGTTGAGCCTCTTCCTGTTTTGCCCTTTCTGCTGCCTGCTCATCAGTGTGCCCTGCTCCTTGTCTTGCAGGTGGCTGGTGAACGGCACAGACGTCCCGTTGGGGATGGACGTGCGTTACACTCTGGTGGCGGGCAGTCTGGTGATCAGCAGCCCCGAGGGGGTCAAAGACACCGGCTCCTATCAGTGTCTCGCCATCAACCGCTGTGGCACCATCATCAGCCGCGCCGCCGTGCTCAAGTTCGGCTGTGAGTCAGAGAGATGTAGATCACTGATGACATCACAGAAGGTTATTTTTGAATTCACCTGTTGACCTCCTGTGCTCTCCCTGCAGTCCTGGACGATTTCTCCTCCGACAGCAGGAGTCCTCAGACGGGGTACGAAGGCGTGGGAACTTTTCTGGCCTGTCAGCCCCCTCCTCATTACCCAGGTACCCACACCTCCAATTACCTGACAGCCTGCTTACACCTGGTCACCTCACCACACCCCGTTTGTTTCAGATCCTTCTACCCACCCTCCCTTCCCTCCTTCTCATCCATCCACCCTCCATCCTCATCCCTTCCCTCCTTCCTTATCCCTTCCCTCCTTCCTTATCCCTTCCCTCCTTCCTCATCCCTTCCCTCCGTCCTTATCCCTTCCCTCCTTCTCATCCCTTCCCTCCTTCTCATCCCTTCCCTTCCCCTGCCAGTCTGCAGCTTTCAGGTCAAAGGTCAAAGGTCAGGTCAGAGATTTCAGAATCGGGGTTTAATGCCAAGTACATTTACACATACAAGGAATTTGACTTGGTGTATTGGTGCTAAACAATTAACAAGGAAATAAAGCAAAACTAGCAACAATAAAATAATAAATAATACAGTATAAGAAGCTATTACAATATATAAAATAGAATTTAAAAATATAAATATAAAATATAAAAAATACAAAATGTACAAAAGGTGCAATGTAGGAGCTGTGCTGTTTGGTTACATAAGTACTGCAGCTTTAAGACCTTCAGCTGCCTCAGGAGGCGGAGTTAGAGAGCACCGTCTAAACGCACCAAAAAAAACCATTTCAAACGTTTCAGTGCAAACTTTTTAAATTCTTTAAACTCAAATCTGATCTGATGTTGAGGATCTGAACACTAACAGGTATACAGGTGATATTTATACAGTTTAACATCCTGGTCTCTGTTCCCGTTGATCCTGACATCATCTTCTTCCTCCTCCAGCTCTGTCGTACCGCTGGTTCCTCAACGAGTTCCCGAGCTTCCTGAAGAAGTTCGACGGCCGTTTCTTCGTGTCTCAGGTGACGGGGAACCTTTACCTGGCAAGGGCGGAGCCCAACGACACGGGGAACTACTTCTGCTTCACCACGGTCAACCTTGAGATCAGCAGCAAGAGCACGTTCAGCCGCCCCAACCAGCTGACCGTGCTGCCCGACGGTACACACACATCCACTGCTCGTTACTGACGTGGTTAAATAACACACCTCACCTGGTTAAATAACACGCCTCACCTGGTTAAATAACACGCCTCACCTGGTTAAATAACACGCCTCACCTGGTTAAATAACACGCCTCACCTGGTTAAATAACACGCCTCACCTGGTTAAATAACACGCGTCACCTGGTTAAATAACACACCTCAAAAGTTCACCTGGTTAAATAACACACCTCAAAAGTTCACCTGGTTAAATAACACACCTCACAAGTTCAGCTCACTGGTCACCGTCACGTTCAGTTTGATCAACACCCCCCCCCCCCCCGCTGGTCTGCGTTCACATCATCGTCCCGTGCAGGTGGCGGTATGCATGTAGTCCATTTGCAAATCTGCTAAAAAGCAGAAAGAAGAAGAAGTAACCATGGCAACCACTCACAGGCTCAGTCCATCCTGCTAACTGTGGATGTTTTTATTATTTCTGAGACGCCATCATCGACCCTCTTCCTGCGTCCACCTCACCGTGCAGCTCAGAGGAGGAAATGGCGCCGTTCGGCTCGGATACAGCGGTTTATTTAAGAGACAGGAGACGTCCCTCGTTAAGAATGACCTCATATAGCGGTCCACTTCCTGGTTTGAGCACGGTTGCGTTCACCTCTCCTGCAGACACACGTACACGTGAATCGTGACTGCCTCTTGAAGAGGATTCTGGAGCGGTACGACACATTTGTGTTCACACTGATCACATGAGCCGGACTCTGGGGGGCGTGCTCTGATCTGGTCCCTGATGTGAAACCATCCTAAGGCGTGCGAGTATGCGGCATAGATTTCAAACAGTTTAGTGTTTGGAATTGATTCACGAGGGCTGTTCATGAAATCGTGATTAATCGCTGAAGTTCAACAGGTCATGGCGCCCGCCAG